GCAGCGGGCCAAATCAGCCGCCAGGCCACCGGGAATTCTCCCGGTGCTCCCGATGGCCAGTCCGGGCCTGTCTACAATTATTGTATTGATTTGTTGTTGTTTTTCATTGCACTGTAGCTGCGCTGCGCTATAAGATAATTCGCTTTGAAAATGATCAATAAAATAGGCTATTTATTTATTTATTTACAAACAAGTATAAGCTGAAAAAAACATGTAGCCTAACAGAAAATGTTCTATAATAATGTTCATTTGACTTTAAATTACAGTGCCACTCGAACAATGCAGTGACTTTGTCTAAACTATTAGCATAGAAATTACACTTAGCCTACACAAAAAGGCCCTTTTTGATAAGGTTAAAAGCCATTATAACAAATATGCCAAAAACTCTATTTGCACCATGCATACCTCACCCCATTTATTTGCTGTTTTATTGTTACTTTTGTGATATTTTCAATTGAAAATTGTAAACATGAAAACTGCTAGTAAATGAGTGTTGAATGTCTCTGATCCAAACTACACTACCCAGGATGCAAAACGTCGCCAAGAAGGGAGGTCTAATTCTAAACCGCTTGGATAAAAAAAAAACAAAAAAAAAAAAACAGCTGAAGTATTGTATTACACCAGAGGAACCTGACTACCCTTTAATAGGACAAGGGCGACACAAAGTAACCCGACTGGTCACGCTCTTTATATCTCTCAGATATGACGCGGAAATTAAGAGCATCGATATTTGATTTGACACCAGAAATTTTGGTCTCAAGTTATGCCAGAAGACGCAGCGTGGGGCTCGACCTGTAACGGGACTATGGATTTAAGCTTGAAGTAGTTGCTTGTTCTTCTGGTCATCCTGAGGGACCTTTTGAATTATAGAGCGTCTCAACGGCATAAGACTGTTGACTGGAGCGCAGCGTAACAGGTCGTAATGCCGCACTATTGGACGGTACCGAACAGGTGCTACTTAGACATTTCTGGTTTTAAATCAAAGGGACGTATGAGCTGACATATATTTTGAGGCAACAAACATGATATAGCTATATAATATAAGAATGAATATGTAAGGTTATTGTTATTTTAGCTTGACTGAAGGAGGGGAAAGACCTGGGATTTATTACTGTATTAAGAGATTACAAGACATGCGAAATTATTCATTATGCTGACATGTCAGGAATCATGTCATAGCACTGTAGCCACAGATTTGGGCCCTTTTTCTCTCATCATGAATATTACTGCTTCATTTGGATACTGATGGGTGTTTGTGCTGCCAGTCTAAAGAGCCTCCACCATGGGATGTGTACAGAGTGTAAAACTCAAGCCAAGTTTTCATGAGAACATCACAGTCCTGGAACTGCAAGCCTCCATTGATCCTAGTCCGACTGTCATCGATGAGTCATCTAATGTGGTTCTGCGATACCGTACGCCTTACTTCAGGGCATCAGCTCAGGTGCAGGTGCCACCCATGCTTTGCAAAGATATCTGGACCGTTGGCTGGATCCAGGCTTGCAATCAAATGGATTTCTTCAATATATATGGGAATGAAGGAGTGTAAGTGTGTTCATTGTATGAATAGACATGCCTAACTACTGAATACTTTATTGTTTTGAGTCCCTACCTTTTTAAAAATAACATGTGGAAATTGCTATGGGCCCTGAGAATCTATAGAGGTTGATACTCCGATTACCATTAACACTTTTTAAAATAAAGGTTTATTATTGGCATCTATGTTTCCATGAAGAACCTTTAGCATCAATGGAACCTTCCACTGCACAAAAGTTTCTTTATAGTGAAAAAGTGTTCTTCATATTATTATAATATTCTTCACAAGAAAAATTCACAGAAAGCTTCCTTTGTGGAACCCAAAATGGTCCTTCTATTGCATTGCTACAAAACCCTCTTTGGGAACCTTTATTTTTAAGTGAACCCATAAATGGCACACATTATGGGTCTCTAAAGATTTGCACCCAACAATATTCATTGGTAAAATACGTTATTTAATGTTTTGTTTGGATAAAACTCTTAACTGTTATTTAAAAATTAACTTTATAACTAACAAGCACTCATTCTCAAGTGAAAAAAAGTGTAGCTTAAAAATCAAAACAAAAATTAGAATAAATTTGCACCTAAACTGCAAAACTATTTTGCATAAAAGTAATAATAATAATAAATAAAACAATAACACAGTTCTGCATATCCGTTATGAGAAAAAAAAAAGATATGGTTATCTCTACCAAAATCATTCCCACCTTTCACCCCACTAGCTGCCTTCTGTCATTTGGTTTACAGGGCAGTAAAATACCATTGAAATATTGTAAAAATGAACTGAACGAACTCGGTGTAATTTAGGTGGCATGATGGTGCTGAGGAACTATGTAAAACAAATTTTCAGGATGTTAGTGATGTTTATGGTGCAATTTCCTGAGATTGTTTCCTCAAAAGCAGAAAAGCTGAACACACCCCTAACAGGACAAAAGGCTTGTCCTTTACCAGCGTCAGTCCTGAGAAAACTAGCCAAGTCTTTATTTCTACCAAGATTATCTATTCACATTTTAGATGACATTAACATTCATTCTCTAGGAAACTACAGGGTTGTTAATTAAGAAGATCTTATTTAGTCCTTATAACTTTCTTGATTTGAAACTTTAACACACAAATTTCTTAGTGTTTTACTTTTAAAGGAATAGTTCACCCAAAAATGAAAATGTACTCACGCTCAAGCCATCCCCTGTAAATGAGTTTGTTTCTTCATCAGAACAGATTTGGAGAAATTTAGCATTACGTCATTTGCTCTCCAATGGATCCTCTGCTTTGAATGGGTGCCGTCGGAACACAGCTGATAAAAGCATCACTGGAGAAAGCAATATTATAGACAGAGGACTCAATGGAATAGAAATAAAAATGTGTTGATTTTTTTTATTATTATTATTACAAACATGCAGATTTTCCCTTTACAAGATGTTAATTGATGGACTGGAGTTGTGTGAATTACTTGTGGATTATTTTGGTGCTTTTATCAGCTGTTTGAACTGTCATTATGATGGCACCCATTCACTGCAGAGGATCCATTGGAGAGCAAATGATGTCATGCTAAATTTCTCCAAATATAAAAAAATACCATAAATTAGCGTAAATATTTAGGGTACATCTCTGATGCAAGAGTGTATTAACTCACTTCATTATAATAACAACATCTGAGAAATAAGTTTCATCTTTCCTCTTTAGATCCAGCTGGGAGCTCCCAGAGCTGAAATGTGGGCAGATCCGGGCCATTAGTGATTCAGATGGTGTGAATTACCCCTGGTACGGCTGCACCACTGAGATGTACATGATGGTGGGTCCCACTAAGAAGAGCACCAAACTCACCACCTGCATGAATGACAACTTCTGCCCAAGTGTGACGTGGAGTGTCCCAGTGGGCACCACCAGCAGTCCCACTCTCCTGAGCTCCATCCAGAGGGACCAACACTTCACCACATGGCTCGTGGCCATGAACGAAACCACAGCTGAGATGGTGCTACTCCGAACCATCCGCTGGAGGATGCAGCTCTGCATTAAAGTGGATCCAATGAAGCCTCTGGGTCAAAGAGCCACAGTTGTGGAGCCACTGATCCAGGAACAGCCTCAAGTCCTGGTCAGAAATGAACCTATCCCAACAAACGCCTTGCTTAAGCCTAATGCCAATGATGCACAGGTTCTAATGTGGCAGCCTAGAAATGGGGAGCCCATTGTGGTCATACCCCCAAAATATTGTTCCAATGAAGGATATTTACTTCCAGCTTGAACTGAAATGATTCAATAATGCTCAGTTAAATGAAGAATGGCATGGAGTGAGTATGAGAATGATCAACAGGGTTACTGATTTAAAGTTTTAAAAGAACAAATGTATTATTTGTGTATTTATTGATGGTTGATAGGCTGTTTGAAAAGATAGTCCACCTAAAAATTAAAATTCTCTCATCATTTACTCAACCTCAAGTCATTCCAAACCTGTATGATTTTCTTCTGTGGACAGAAGAAGATATTCTGAAGAATGTTCGTAACCACCCAGTTTTGAGTCCCATTGACCTCCATAGTATGTTTTTTATCCATACTGTGGATAAAGTCAGTTAAAGCTGAAATCATTTGGATAGCAACATTCTTCAAAATATCTTTGTGTTCCACAGAAGAAAGAAAATCATTCAGGTTTGGAATGACTTGAGGAAATAAATGATGACAGAAATTTCATTTTGGGATGGACTGTCCCTTTAAGGGCACACATTTATCATATTGTGTACTGTTTTGTTTTGAAATATTTTTAATATTTGAATATTTGTAATTTGTAAGACAAAACTGTGTGTCCTTTGCATACTTGACTGACTATGAACTGAAATGTGGCCTTATGAAACCTATTATTCTAAACTAAACTGAAATAGTTTGTTCACACAGTATGAGCTGATTATTAAATGTATAATGGAGGTATATTTATTTTTTACTATGGTGTGGCCAATGTTTTACAAACAAATGTTGCCTTTTATTTTGTGCAGTTACAGGAAACACGTTTGCAAACGACACTTGTGTCCGTGGCATCTTACAGGATGTTCCCTGGTCTAGAACTGTGAATAATTTAGTTGTCTTCTCATGTTTTAAGAGGCAGCTTTTCAGGTGCACAAGTTGTGTTTCAGGTACTTCATCTCTTTTTTAGACATGGAGATAAGGTGGAAACTCTACAATAAAATCAGTGTGTAAAAATAAATACACTTTCCTGTGTTTTTTTTTTTTTTAGTTTTGTATCACAATTTTGAAAATTAAAGCTTCACTAAAGAGCAGACAGCTCAATACCGACTTTGTCAGTTTAAATAAGATCTAAAATGATCATACAAGTAAAATTGCTTCACAACAGCATTTGAACAGATTTAATTGATAACTATGACCAATAATTGTATCTGAATCACACAAACTTTGTTCTTTGTTTGAGAGCGTCCTCTCAACAGGGACCACATGACCTGATTCTAAAATACTCCAAGTTGTCCTATTTTGTACTCCTATGAATTCATTTAAATCTCAAAAGTCTTGTATCTGCAGAGTCTCCCTGGACATCCTTATTTATCACTTTGTTTAGTAATTTTACTGTAAATAACAATGAATCAGTGACTAGTTTAATTTACAAAGGTAGAAAATGGATAGGGAGGTTTTTAATTACATGCCAACTTTAAGAAGTTCCCCCAAGATTTATAGGCATATATATGTACTGATAACGTCTTACAGAAACAACAAAAGACACTTGTACAATGTTCCCTCTAAGCAGCGCGCAGAAGCAGAAGAAATAATGTGACGCAAATGAGTTGGGGAAAGTATGGAAGCCCGTTTCCGCCACTGAATAAAAAATAAAAGAGGTAATTGCGACTTTTTATCTCACAATTCTGACTTTTTTTTCTCAGAATTGCGTGATACAAACTCGTAAATCTGACTTTTTTTCTCAGAATTGCGTGATACAAACTCGCAATTCTGACTTTTTTTCTCAGAATTGCTGATACAAACTCATAATTCTGACTTTTTTTCTCAGAATTGCGTGATACAAACTCGCAATTCTGACTTTTTTTCTCAGAATTGCGTGATACAAACTCGTAATTCTGACTTTTTTTTCTCAGAATTGCGTGATATAAACTTGTAATTCTGACTTTTTTTCTCAGAATTGCGTGATACAAACTCGTAATTCTGACTTTTTTTCTCAGAATTGCGTGATAAGAACTCGTAATTCTGACTTTTTTTTTCAGAATTGCGTGATACAAACTCGCAATTCTGACTTTAATTCTCAGAATTGCGTGATACAAACACGCAATTCTGACTTTAATTCTCAGAATTGCGTGATACAAACACGCAATTCTGACTTTAATTCTCAGAATTGCGTGATACAAACACGCAATTCTGACTTTAATTCTCAGAATTGCGTGATACAAACACGCAATTCTGACTTTAATTCTCAGAATTGCGTGATACAAACACGCAATTCTGACTTTAATTCTCAGAATTGCGTGATACAAACACGCAATTCTGACTTTAATTCTCAGAATTGCGTGATACAAACACGCAATTCTGACTTTAATTCTCAGAATTGCGTGATACAAACACGCAATTCTGACTTTAATTCTCAGAATTGCGTGATACAAACACGCAATTCTGACTTTAATTCTCAGAATTGCGTGATACAAACACGCAATTCTGACTTTATTTCTCAGAATTGCGAGTTTGTATCACCAATTCAGAGAAAAGAAGTCATAATTGAGAGATATAAACTCGCAATTCTGAGAAAAAAAGTCAGAATTACGAGTTTGTATCACGCAATTCTGACTTTATTTCTCAGAATTGCGTGCAATTCTGCCTTTTTTTCTCGCAATTCTGACTTTTTTTCTCAGAATTGTGAGATATAAACTCGCAATTATGAGAATATACCGTATTGGCCCGAATATAACACGAATCTGATTATAAAACGACCCCCCTTTTTCCAGATGTAGCCTACCTTTTGGAAAAAAGCTTTTTAAAAACCAAATCTTGTTTTTTCTCAGTAAAACACATTTTGTATTCAATTATTTTCATATTGCATATTTTTCCTATTTTAATTTTTGTTTTGAAAGTATGGTAAAAACTGGTAAAATGTACCAACAATCACATAAAAAAAAATATACACTTTTTGATATACCATAAAAAAACAAAACAGGTAGCCCATCTGAATCTCAAAATTGGACTTTAACTTGCAATTGCAAGTTTATATCTCACAATTCTGAGAAAAAAAAATAAGAATTGCGATATAAACTCACAATTCTGACTTTTTTTCTCGCAATTTGACTTTTTTTCTCAGAATTGTGAGATATAAACTCGCAATTATGAGAACATATAAGTCTCCCCCCCTCCCCTAAAATTGGACTTTAACTTGCAATTGCGAGTTTATATCATGCAATTCTGAGAAAAAAAAGTCAGAATTGCTATCGCTATAGAGTTAGCACCGGTGAATGCGGTTTACAGGTTTCATAGAAAGAATGATGTGCGCCAAATGAGTCGTTGTAGAAACCGAATATTTATGGTTGCGGACGAAATAGCTCAAATCGAGAGCCCACGCAACGCAATGACATGTGAAATAAAACGTCATCATGTATTAAAGAAGAGTGGCTTGATTAAGTGCTGGAAATAGCGGATGATGGACACAGAACGGTAACAAAACTCAGAGACAGTCACACAGGTGTATTGTGCAAACTGTACTTCATAGGGATGTTTAGATAGCTATAGAAGAATTCACGTTCACGTTTTTTTTTTTTTAAATATTTAACTTACAGATCTCAGTTTATAAATGCTTCCGTTTGTTTTGATATTATATTATGTTAGGCCTATATTATAAACCTAATAAATAATTGACCTTGTTTTTTAATGGAGTCTCTTATGCTCATCAAGGATGTATTTATTTGATCGAAAACAAACAAAAAAAAAAAAAACTAATATTGTGAAACATTTTTGCAATTTCTAATATTGGTTTCCTATTTTAATATACTTTAAAATATAATTTATTCCCGTGAAGCAAAGCTGAATTTTCAGCATCATTACTCCAGTCTTCAGTGTCACATGATCCTTCAGAAATCATTCTAATATGCTGATTTATTATCAGTGTTGAGACGGTTGTGCTGCTTAATATTATTTTATTATAATATTTTTTGGAACCTGTGATACTTTTTTCTTTGATTAATAAAAAGTTAAAAAGAACAGCATTTATTCAAAATAGAAATCTTTTCTAAAAATATAAGTCTTTACTATCACTTTTTATCCATTTAACACATGAAATAAAAGTATTAATTTCTTTAAAAAAAGAAAAAAAATTATTGACCACAAACTTCTGAATAGTATTGTAAAACAAAATTTCTATTTAGAATAAACACTGTTCTTTTTAACTTTTTATTTATGAAATAATCCTGAAAAAATATCACAGGTCCCAAAAAAATATTAAGCAGCACAACTGTTTCCAACATTGATTATAAATCAGCATATTAGAATGATTTCTGAAGGATCATGTGACACTGAAGACTGGAGTAATGATGCTGAACATTGCTTTGCTTCATAGGAATAAATTATATTTTAAAGAATATTAAAATAGAAAACTTTTATTTTAAATTGCAATAATATTTCACTTTTTTTGTGTGCGCGCTGTACAGGCCTGGTATAAAGAATGTTTTTGCTCAGGTGGCCGAAATGTCCGCCCAATAGAGAAAAATTTTGCTCAGCAAGAAAAAAAAATAGAGGGAACATTGCACTTGTACCTGTAAGAAATCAAGTTTTCATTTTGATGTAAATATCTGAATGAGAACAATTTATCAAGTTACTGCCTTTAAAAATTAAAATTCCTTACCTCACTATTTTACAGTACATTTTCTGATAATTATAGATTGCAATGGGACATTCATATGCAGCTGGGTCCGAAAGTCTAAAACCAACGTTGAAAATGATTCTATGCATTTAATAATTTAATTACAGTTAATTACAAATTGTAATTTGAGCACGATTTGCTTTAATAACAGCAGCACTGATGCTGCATGAACTCCTTAATTATGTGTAAAATCCGACGACCAAAATCTCCAGCATAATTTGAGATGATCCGAAGAGCATTTTGAGGTTCAGTGGAAAAAACATCTGACCATCTGTATAAACAGTCTTCATAATTTTTTGTAATACATTTTTCAAAATCCTAAAACAGGTTTATTGCCAGGTTAGATCCCAGGCATTTCTTGTCTGTTTTAATTTTTGTTTTTGAACCCAAGTGTTCACAAAACAAAACAAAGACATATGTATGTTTCAAATAAGATGCTTCGAACAATCATAATATAGAACTGTGTTAGAAGTGTGCTTAACTGCTTTGATGACCCTCTGAATTATACATGAGTTTAGTGATTCTTTGTGCTCTTGCACTGTGACTGCCCCTCCCTC